GCACTACTATAATTTTGTTAATGCGAGCTTAGATACCACATATTTTTATCCTTCCACATGGTTTATGGACCTAAACTTAAGTTTAACAGTAGTTAAATAAATTTTAACATTCCTAAGCAAAAATCTATGGGGAAAAAAATCAGTCTTAAGGGTCAGAAGGTCGCATGGTAGTTAAAGTGCTGGACTTCTACATGGTGGACCCATGTTTCGAGTCCTGGACCTGGCGGCTTGAAAATGTGCATTCATGCCCAAAATCCCAAGAAGAGAATGGAGAAGGGATTGTGTCATGGCCATCCTTCATGGGGAGGTGATTTCTCACTTTCCTTCTCACCGTCTCTGTCACTCTCTCTCAGGAAAGCACATGCACTCTACTGGAAAAAAACTTCAAAAAAAAAAAATCAATCTTAGACATTCTGGAAAAGTAAAATGAGGAAGACAATAATAAAAGACCAGTTGTTGGGACCAGCAGTTGGTGTAATGGCTATGTCGCTGGACTCCCATGTAGTCGACCGCGGTTAGAGTCCCAGGCCCGGTGGCACCTGGTGCATGTGCATGCATGTCCAAGAGTCTATGAGGAGAATGGAGGAGAAGGGATTGCAGCATGGCCATACCCCCTGGGAGGGTGATTCTTGCTTTCTGTCTCTCTGTTTCTCTCTGTCTTTCTGGAAAGCGCATGAGCCCTATAGTAAAAACCTCTCAAAAAAAAGACCAGTTGTTGCCAACAGTTTGGCGGAAGGGAGGAAAGAGGAATTGCTGGCATACAGGGGATAGGGGATTTTTAGGGCCATGAAACTATTCTGTATGATACTGTAATGGTGAATACATGTTATTATACATTTGTCAAAACCCACAGTACATACAACACCAAAGGGAATACTATTGGAAAGTATGTATTTCCTAATAATATATCAATTGGCTCATCAATTATAACAAATAACACACTAATGTAAGATGTAAATAATAGGGAAAAAGGGCAAGGAACTATGTATTTTATGTTCCTAGTTGCCCAAAAAGAGATCTAGCAATTAAAAACAACAAAAACGTATGTACAAAATGTAATTTAAAAAAAAAATCAACTTTATGAAACAAATTGTACATAAAATTTAGAAAGTAATAAGAGGGGCCAGCAGGCAGTGTGGTGGTTAAAGATGCTGGACTCCTACATGGCCAAGTCCCAGACCTGGTGGCTTGCTTTCTCACTTCCCTCTCTCTGATCAAACTGGAAAATAACAATAATAATAAATAAAGTTAAATAATTTTTTTTTTGGAGAGGTTTTTGCTATAGGGCGCGTGCGCTCGCCAGACAGACAGAAAGAGATAGAGAGACAGAAAGTGAGAAATCACCCCCCGGGGGGGATGGCCACACCGCAATCCTTTCTCCTCCATTCTCCTTTCGGGATCTTGGGCATGCACGCACACGCGCCTGGCGTGAGTTTAAGCCACTGGGTCTGGGATTTGAATCTCGGTCGACTACATGGGAGTCCAGCGACATAGCCATTATGCTAACTGCTGGTCCCAATAAAGTTAAATAATTCTTTAAAAAGAAAAGAAAGTAATACGAATGAATTTGATGTCCTAAGAAATGCCTGGAGCACTTGATCTACTCACCGTCTTTTTAGACAATGTTGTCCAAAAGAACTTTAAGCAATGAGGCCAGTGGTGGTGTGATGATTAAGGGAGCTGGATCCCACATGGCTTGCTGCTGGGTTCAAGTCACAGACCCAGCGGCTTGAAATGTGCGGTGTATGTGTGCCTGCACAAAAGCCAGAGAAGAGAAATGGAGAAGAGATTATGGTATGCCTACTGTAAGCGAAGAAGCACTTTCCCTCTCTTTCTGTTAAGTGCACATGCCCTCTAGCGAATTAAAACAGAAAAACAAACTTGATGCAATGATGCTCTGCTATAACTACTAGCTGTGCTGTCTACTGTACTCCTGAAATGTGGCTAGTATAACTGAAAAACAGAATTTTAAATTTTACTTAACTTTAATTAACAATTTCAAATAGCCACATGTCACTAGTGGCTACCATATCAACACAGTTTGACAATTTCTCAAGAGACCCCAGATGGTACTGCAAGGTTAACTTTATAAGAAGAGTTATCGCAAGAAACCATTCAAAATGGATGTATTCAATAGTTACAAAACAATGCTACGATTAACTGAGCAGGTCAAGAGTGACTACTAGGCAGGGGCCAAAACAATCAAGAACCAATAAGGTCCATCTCTGATTGTTCCTCACTTCAAGTCCCAAAGTGCAACCAAATAATGACAAAACAGTCATTTTTCTTTCCAATTCATTGAACATCATTTCTGCTTCCTGAAAAACAGGGTAGAGGTTAAATTAGCATAGAGGAATATTTTTTCAAGTAAGTGACTAAGAGAAAATTTTAAAAGGGCCATAAGGAAGTAACTTTAATAGTGATTTCCGGGGGCCAGCGGGTGGCGTGGTAGTTAGGGTGCTGGACTCCCACATGGTCGACTCTGGGACCATGGTTTGAGTCCCAGACCTGGCAGCTTGCCTTCTCACTTTTATTCCCCCTCCTCTGGGATGATGGTTTGAGTCCCGGACCTGGTGGCTTGCTTTCTCACTTTTATTCCCCCGCCTCTGGTCAAATTAAAAATAATAATAGTAAGTAAAATAAAAAGTTATTTCAAAAAAATAATGATTTTTCGGCCGGCAAGTGGCATGGCGGTTAAGGGCACAGGACTCCCACATGCAGATCAGTTCCCTGGACCTGGTGGCTTGCCTTTTCACTTTCCCTCTCTCTAGGTCTCTCTCTCTCTCTCTGGTCAAATTTAAATAATAATAACAAAGATGAATAAAATTAAATAAAATGATTCTTTTAAAAAGAGTGATTTTGCAGACACATGATATGCAGTTATTTTGAAAATAAAAATTCAAAAACTAATTATTTAACCATGTATTCTAATTCTATGTAATAGTTGGTTGAAATCAAAAGGAAAGAGATGCCCAGAAAACCAGGACAAATAAAAAAAGGAATACACGGTAAATAAACAAAAACGAGACAGCAGAGACACATATTTCCAGTTAAGCAGTGCTCAGCTCCTCAAAGGGTCATTACCTCTTATCGCGGTAGTTTAAAATGCTCGTTGATTAAACCTCAGTTCCTAATGCAATGACTTTTTGTCCTTATCCCAGTGGCATAAAAGGGAACTGAAGTCCTCGATTACAGTGACTTTTTATCGAGTTCTCCCCTGGGAAACCTATGAAATCAAACACTGAGACTGGCTCCCTACCCTCAGGGAATAAATAGTGTTCAAAGTGACAGTGTTGAATCCCTACAGTACATTTGGTCCACAGCTTCTTTTTCAGTCCTGCAAGCACCGGATTTTTCTTTTCAAATACAAAGAGGGAGAAAGAAAGAGGTAACTGAGAAGTAGTGAAACCCTCTAGTGGAGAGGTGAAAACACCTGACCTTAGATGCAGCCCCCCCCCCCAAACCTACTTCTTGCCACTTTG